CTTTCCCATAGTTTAATCCTATGGCTTAACACAGACTCACTTGAGGGCTGGTCCCCTTTAACCCTTTAATAACAGTGAAGTCGGGAACTAAAAAACCTCTGGAGAAGACGACGCATTAGAAGTTGGTTAGGTGAAAAACCACCTGCCACTGTTAAAGGTGCATACTACGTGTAAGAACATACAATGCTTCTTAACTTCGTCTAGTCATTGCTGTTAATGAACATCTTCCACAGCCTCCCAGACAAGATTATCCTTACAGATAGCCCTGTCCTTCAAAACTCCGTAATCCAGAATCACAAAATTATCAACAGAAGCCATAAAACAGACTTTAAGAAAAAATTAGCAGAATTAGAAGAGAACTGTGTACTTTTTGATACAAGACGGCGTTTGCATTGTCCTCTGCAAATTCAGGGATCTTCCCTTCTGACACCTTTCAATGTGCTCATGGTTTATGTTACTAAAATTATTGTCACCAACGTGAACTACCGCTTAAAGCTGTGCAGTTTCATTATGGTACCAGCAAAATGTTTCTAGATTTGATCTGGGTTTTGTTTTTTTTATAAATGCAGATGTTACTTCATCTGTATAAGAAATCCTTCCTAAAATAAGAAAATAATAATAAGGCTATAGTACATTCAAAATGTGTCCTGACTGACTGAAATAGGTCTCCATTCTCTGTCCCCACCCTTTTTCCGTACATTTTTACCCTGCAAAGCAAGATCCTGGTCTCCTTTCTCTCAATCCCACACAGGACCCCAGTCTTTCCCGCCTGGGCCAAGCCGATTCCCTCTCACAGAAAATAACATCACGTTCCAGTTCAGCACGTTCATGCCTCCTGCCTCATCCTGCCTGAAGCCTGCTCCAGCCTTCTGAGATAGGAAGGCAGACTGCAAAACTGGTTATGATCCTGCAGCGGAGGCTGCGAGCAGACCAGGCTGGGGAGCCAGAACTGCTACCGAGTACCGCAGAAAATTACTGCTGACCACATGCCTGAAGACACTTACCCTGCAGCTCAGGTGAACACCCACACAAAGAGAAAGGCAGGAGCTATCACAGTCGAGTACCACACTGGCACGGTCCCAATACCCACAATTTGGGAATCTGGCATAATAGCGTGGCTGCAGTGCTTTGAACTATTGCTGCAAAACGCTCTAATATTCCCTGCGTGTGGGCATGTGTGCACACGTGCAGGGACAGTAACTCGGTGGTTCCTGAACTACAATTAAAATAAATTGTCTCCAATACGTTAGCAGCTATTGACAAGCTTTCAAAAATGACTCCTGGATTTGATGGCAAATGCCCACTAAAATTAGCAGCAGTTCGGTTTTTGAGTTGAAATAGAACACAGTTCCCCTCTCCAAAGCATCTGAAAGTCTTTGTTTAAATAACGTAGTTCCAGTATTCGTCACACACTGAGGATTGTACCAGAATATTCTGTGCTATAACTTAAAACTCATATATAGCTGGGTTTCTGGGGTGAATTAGAGCAACCCTAGAAGTTGCTGTAGTTTACAGAACCACTTTACAAATCCCCACATTCTGAGTCGAAGCTCAGAATAAGCAGTGTTACCAAAAAAAAAGGCATCACAGTCAAATACGCTTCTTATGCTAAGGCACCTAAACAAGTGACCCTCTGAAATGGCCTCCCGGTCCTTCCAGGCTCTGCGCACACTGCTGGAGCAGCGCACCGCTCTACTACCTCTGGCTCCAGACCTAAAGTACGAAGCATGCCACTTCATTACCTCGTGATAACAGAAATACACTGTTGATGCTTTGGAGTAATTGAAATGCATCAAAGCTATTGTTTACATTTGGGAAGCTCCTTATTTGTCAGGTTTTTCTGCTACCAAAAGCCGCGGGCACAAGCTGGGCAACCAGTGCCTTCTGTCCCACAGTCCCAGATAGCAGGGCATCTTGCGATGGGAGAATACATCCTGCCAGGTGAACTCTTCTGGGGTGCTAGACAGCGAGTTTCCACTCAGTGAAACTCTTACATTTTGCTAAATTTCACCTCCATAAATAAAGGACTCTATTCAAACTCTCTTTCGGAGGCCAGAGCTGGGAAAATATCCAATGTAAACAGAAAATAAAGAGCTGTCGTTTAGTATTCTGAACCAGGCTGGCTACTCGCCAGCTATAATATAAATATTAGAGATCATGAAGCTCCTATAACCATCATCTTTATTTGCACCCAGGTATTTTTACTGGGCTCGTTAATACATACAGCGTGGCAGCCGTCTTCCTACGCAGCTAGAAATTGGAGCACATTAAGAGAAAAACTGGATAGTTCGACAGGAGTTGCAAACCAAATGACTATCAATATACTATAAAATTTTATGAGCAAGTAATTTGTGTCTTCACCAAGAAAAAATCCCCCTAAAGCTTACTTCAGAGCAAACTGGGAAACTGCCAAAGAGAGTCAGTTAAGTGATGTTTAAACTTGCAGGTTTTGGATGGAGATTATATATTAAAAGGTAGAAGCAGGTTTTCTAACATATATTCTGCAAAGAGTTATTTGTTTTAGAAGAAGGTCACAGCAGCTCAGGAGCTTTAAATCCATTTTTGACACAAATTCCTTTGGGGGGGGAAATAACTTTTTTCCTTTTTTTTTTTCTTCTTTTCTTTTTTTAAATTAATAAAGCAGCAAGCTGGCATTTATGTTTCCACGTTCACACACAAAATTCAGAGGACCAGTCCTACATTCCTTTGCCAGAAGGTGCTCCCTACATTATTAGGGGATATGCATAACTACACGGTAATTTTATGAGTGATACAATAAACAAAGTTTTCCTGAAATTCGTTAAAATGACAGAAACGCATTCTGGTGAAGTAAACAAATGCATAGGAAAAACGCTTTACATTTCTCAGTACACTTGTCTCAAAAACTGATTTATTCTCAAATTGCTGCCAATTCTAACAAATTATGGTGATCTTGCCATGCAGACAGATATCCCTCTGAGGAACAGAGAGAGGGACAACCCAAAGCATGATCCGCACCAGTGGAAGAAAAATCTGCCTGAGCTTCTGACACTGATGGCTTCCAGACTGGATTTGCCCACCATATTTCTAACACCTATTCTGAAAACTCCAGCTGGTTTTCCTCAGAAAAAGAAGTAACAAGTAGCTTGCTACTTATTAACCCTTTTTCACCTTCCTAAAATTGATACAGTTTATCATTTGCCTATGAACAATGAAGCTCCCAGAAAGGGAAACCTCACCACACTTCAAATTGTTACTACTAGATTTTAATTACAATGGTGTTATGTCAAGCGATTATACTCGTTACATTATACAATATTACATAATCATTCCATGATTTTTTCCAACTACTAAAATGTCTGCTTTTTTTAAATGGCTCTAACACCATCTTGTTTCCAATCACATTAAAAATATATGAATTTAAAAAAAAGAGAGAGATGCTGGCTTAACTTATACATTCATTATTTTTCCCTTAATTTTGTCCCTTCCCTTTTGCACATAAAATGATCATCAAACCAGCAACTGGAGATTTAATATTCTAAACTTTAATTAGAGAACAAACATTACTGTAAATAAGTAGAGAAAAAAGGATGTTCATCGAAAATGAAATGGATTATTTGTAGACAACAAAAGTATTTACTAAAGTAGTTTCTTTTTTGGCATCACAGAAATGCTGGAAGCCAGGAAGGAGTTTTGTTTTGTTTTTTTTAAATAATTACTAAAGGGTTATTCACATAATGTAATTTGAAGGATTTTTATTACAATGCATAGCATTTGCGCTCAGACCAAGGTGCTCTCCTCTTCTACACACACTAAGACAAGAGGGAAACGTGGACATTAAATTTGCAAAATGGCTGCAAATGGAAACCTGCATCTGTCCCACTCTTGGATCCAAAAACCTGGAGCAGTCCGTGCCAACTCGCTGCTCTCTCCTGGTACGAGCTGTGTGCTTCCCATGCTCGCCGTTGCGTGCAGGAGATCCTCGCCGGTAAGCAGCCCAACAGAACCAGGTCCGAGGCTGCACAGACTCCCACTCCCCAGCGGGACAGTCTGCAGACAATCTTATCCTGCCCCGTGCTGCTTACTGTGCCTTCTTCAGATGGAAAAAGTGGGAATACCCGACCAACTATGAGAAGGGTAGTGGCCAAGATCCAAGTTTAGGGAATGCAGAAAGCACCTTTGCAAAAGTTGCGCAACACTTTGCAAAGCTATTTTGCAAAACTAATTTTTTTTTTTCCCCCTAAAACTATTCCATAGTCTGATGCAACACTGAAAGAAACAGGATCTTAGGCCAGGAACCTGAATTTTGGCACAGAGGGGATAGGTAATCTGCTCTCTCTCTCTGTAGGTAAGCAGAAAGGAGGAAAAATTTTGAAGCCCTTCCCCCCTCCACCTCCTCATCATAGTGATAAGCATCTACCACCTAGAGAGCTGTAACTAACTATTAAGGCCTGATTAAGATGCTTTATAAAACATAATAAGCCATGAGGTAGTATAAGCACATCTGAAATATCTTATGAGCAACTAGCAATAATGGCTGAGGTGTTCATAACTTAACTGTGTGATTTCAACACCTTCCAGTAAAACCAATACTATGCATGTCTCAAGCAATACTCCTTCCCAGAAACCCCTTTCCCTCCTCCAGATACAAAAGACTTGGGCATGATTAATTTTTGCACAACATTGTAAAATTGCTTAAACACCTCAGGACATGCAAGAAGGATGATAAATGTTTAACTCCACCACCACTGCATTTATACAGCAATCTTGTACCTGGGTTTGGGTTTTGAAAGAGTTTGGATTTGGGTCACCCAGCCAAAGATGACGAATAAAATTCCTTATGAACTTTACTTGGGAAACTTTGCTCCAGTTGAAATTGCAGTATCAGAAAATCCAGGTATGTTATTACACATACATGATTGTACTTCAAAACTCCACAGAATGAAGCAAGCGTGTACAAAGTGACTGAAAGTGGAACTTTGAGAACAATGCAAGAACAAAAGCAAAGTAAGAAAACTTACAAGGACTGTAAACCGCTTAATCCTCTGATGGCCTCGTTAGGTATAGTCTTCAGCTGATTGTTCTGTAGGGTTCTGTAAGATCCACTGTGTTAGTAAAGTAGAATTTGACAATAATCGTTATCAACAGTAGAGATGACAGAAGAGCCCATGGTCCTGTTACGGTTGCACAGATTTCTAGTATACATAAAAGCATGTAGAATTATCAAGACCAGATACCCAAAGGCAACGATACAACAAGAAAATGGTCTGTTTTCAGTTTTATTTACAACTCATTAATTAACTGCACGAATTTGCAGAGAACACGCCTCTGACATAATACGCTGAAATTCCCCTGGGAACTCACTGAAGAGGTTGAACAACTTAACACTAGTACAAATTTGCTACAGTGAATGATATTTTATTATTTTCTTGTGAAATCATCCTGTACATACTACAAAATACACAAACCTCTAATTTTTCTTAAAGCCGCATCAATACACAATGCATTAACAATCTAATTTGCAAAGTGTGTTCACAACAAAGCACCTCTGGGCATAACATTAAAAAGACACAGAATGAAACTAGAGCCAAGCTGAACTAAGTTATACTGGGTTTTTTTTAAGAACTTCTCTTATGGGACAACATATTATTGCATGAGGAGTTCTTTTATAAAGAGAATGTAAGTAACTGAGATCTCACACATTATAAAATATTATTAGATTTTGGTGTATACTGGGGTAAAATGCAAGTGGACAAGTAAGTTAACTGTTAATTAATATCCAAGTCCCAAATTTTTCAAGAACCGCTAGAATCAGTGTTGAGTATCCTGATGGAGATACCTTCAAGAGCCTTGACACGCTGCATTCAATTTACAAAACATCATTAAGTAGTATTGCAGATAGGCAGTTTCCTAATCTGTACCCTGCTTATGCTCTTTGTTTATGCTTCTTTCTTCACAACCTCAGGGTCCTTTTCCACTAGATTTTTTAAATATCTGCTTAATTAACTATCTATTACCCTACTAGCAATTGGAAATATTTACGTCAGCATAAATGCTACAATTTCTGGATGCAGGTTTTTAAGATTCCAAACAACAGAAAGCTCTTTTTATCCTTAGCTATGGGAAAACAGTTGAAATATTCTTATCTCAGAAAGGAAAACAGGATAGGCGAAACAGGGCATGAAATTCTAACTTTTTTTAATTAAAACTTTTTTCCTACTACTAAGTCATTTTCACCTAAAGAAGCATCGAACTATGGAAATTATTTCTATTACCAGCAAGGGACGATTCAAAGGTCAAAGTGTGTTTTAAATCTCTGTAAGTAATAGTACTCCCTGATAACGTTGGGGCACCTGACGGAGTAAGATGAGGGGGTGGAGAACAACAAAAAGCTTTACATGTCCTTTTTAGAATTTTTCCTTCTTAGGATTCTTCTGCTACAAGATACACTTCAGAAGCAAGTGTTCTAATTATTTAAGTAATTACAGTTTAGTCAAATTCACCACTGCTCATCATCACCACTTACAGAAGGCTTTATAAAAAAAAATAATGGAGGAGAGCTGTAATTTTGGGGGGAGGGGCAGCAGAGAGAGGGAAAAAAATTTAATCCAGCCTACCAGTAAACAGGCTGGCTGTGCACTAAGAAAGCATACAGCTAGCTATGAAGCTCTAAAACCCAATTACTTACAGAACTTTGAGTTCTTTCAACCCAGACAAGGCCTTCGGATGGATGAAAGAAAGGTCATTGCCAGCCAGTCGCCTGGAAAAAAATTGCAATAATAATTTCAGTCACAAAATACTAACAAGGAAAATCACCAATACATCAAATCTTGCAAGCAGTTATGCATTTTGCATCCAATTATGCCATATTCATTATCTTCCAAGTTTGCATCGGTTATTTCAGTCATCGCACATTTTTGATGACGAGAACGCATTCCTCAGCCTCATGGACATACTTTTGCAAACATGCTAGAAAAAAAACACACCCCAGAATGATAAAGAATCTTCTTATGGTACTAGGTTTGAAAAGTGCATTTACCAACTATTAACGTGATCCTCTGGCTTTCAGCATTGCGCTGCTGAAACACATGCTCTGGTACCCATGTGTTTTTAATCTATACAGAGTTTCTAAAGAAACTACGCAGTTAAGTAAAAATAGCTAGATGCTAGTGTGAGGCAGGGAAAAGTTTCTATGAGAATCCCAAATGTGAAGACGGTATTTGCAAGCACGTTCACAGTGCTGACCATTGACAGGATGCCTGCTGACATTACCAAGACATAATCTTGGTAATCTTTCATCTTTTTGGTCAGCTATTTGGACAAACTTTTCAGAAAAGAAAAGAGTTTTGGGGGAGGGAGAAAGGGAACAGGATTCTCAGCCGTACTCACTCTCTCTTAAGATGTGGCTGGTTTCAAACTTGGACTGCTAGATACTAACACAAAGTAAATCGTGAAAAACACCATGATATTAAAAGTAATAAATACAGGAGATGCTGCAGAAGACAAAGCAGGAAAGCAGAAACAGCAGCCAAACCAGCTGCTTTCAAATAGCTCATTCCCCCTTCCCCCGCTCCTTTTTTTCTTCAACCTTTTTACCTCTATCCTGACCAGCAGGCCCTGTGTGGTCCAACCTTTGCTGAGCTGCTAATAGTTGTGACATGAGGTATTTTATTAAGGGTAAAAGACAGTAACACAGAACACCTGGTAACCCACAGCTGCCAAAAGATGCCATCATTTCAGCCAAAGTATTTGCTTTCAGACTGTTTCATATCCAAGCTAACCAAATGCAGCGCTGGAGAAGGTTGTACAATGAAATCATCCGATGGAAATACTATGTACAATGCAGTGTTAATAATTAAAAAACACTCAATGTGCTTTAGCAGAGGTTACAGACTATCAAAACCCCCCTCTGCTGTTACAGGGCACTGTGAAGCAAGCCAGCCACTCTAAGGGGAAAATATTATTTCAAAGTGGCAAATGAAGGAAATAACAAGAGCATCATCTAAAGTATCAGCTTGCCAGAACATAGCAACGTTACTACGTTTTTATCTTAGTCTCTAACTACATAAAAGAGATCACCCAAAGCATTTGATGCCTACATAAATCTGCTTGCAACAGAAATAATGACTTAATAAAATGCTGCCTGATAGAGACCATGCTAGTTACATTTAGCAAATCCATTTGTCAAAGGTAGATGGTTTTATTTAAAAACCAAGGCAGAAAAGGACTGCTTCTCACGAACAGGAAGGTGACAGCAGCAGATACTACTCGATTTTAGAAAACTGTGTTACTATCGTTTGTTAAAGTAGACCTTGGTATTTAGTCCTTGTATTCTCATGCACACCCCAATCGCCATAGCTATGGCTCTGACATCATTCCAAGTGTGCTTAAATCTCAGCTGCTTCTGTTTTTTTTTTAAAAAAAAAGAAAAAAAAAAGACGAGACAACTTCTGACTGCTGAGAAATATTTGTCTGCGTGGCTCGTGTATAATCAAACAGCTCTGAAACCAGAAGAAAAACAAAGAGAATCAATGTATACTTAGTTCTTGAAATCTCCTGTTTGCAAACAACCTCATGGTTTTGGAGCTGTGACATGACTTTTCAAATACTTTGAATTTTTAACATGAATGAAAAATTGCAGATGGCAACTAAACACTCCCCTAAAATTCATTTTGTTGTCAGTAACTGCCCAAATCAACTGTATTAACTTTATCTGGGAGGACAGGGAGGGACGTTTGCAATATTTCATGGCTTTCTTTTTAACAATTTCCTAAGAAGTTCACTACAAACAGAAAGAAATATTGATGAAACATGCTGGGTCTCTACACCAGAGAGCCAGTGATCTGCAAAACACATGTTTATTTTAAAAAGTGTTCAAAACATCAAAATAGAAATCCTTAAATCAAGCGAAATTTAACTGAGGCTATAGCACCGAATTACTTTGGCACTCAAACACTACTAGTTGATGCTGATTACCTACCACGTGCTTCAAGAAGCAGCAGCCCTGGTAAATGTGTGTCAGGCAGCTCTGGCTGCAGCTCCGCCAAGGTTCCCCGTTAAATTAAACGGGCTGGTGTGCGGCTCGTCAGGCATCTGCTGTAACTTCTCCCTCCCCCCAAAGAGGCTGGGGATTATGATTTGTTTTAAAAAAGCTAAACTAAATCCAGTTGAATAGCCTCCCCCAATCTCACTGAGCATCACTAACACAACCTACAGAGCACTGGAAACAAAATACAGCTGAGCCAGAGCAAGGCTTGCGTGACTTCAAATAGCAAGACTTCGCCTGCCTCAAGGCAACTCCTGTTTATTCAGCCTTTCTGCAACCAACCAACAGAAAAAAAACAACCTGCAATCCATTACATTTCCGCTTCTCCTCCATCTGGCAACCTTCCAGGAAACAGGATACAACTAGCCAAGTGTGCAAAGGCTTTACTAATCAGTTTGCCAAATATACATTTATCATTCACGTCCTAGCCTTGGGGAGCACGGCGGCTCGTTAGGAGGTTTCAACTGCAGCTCTCCAGCAGGCAAAGACCAACATATCATACGCCGCTCTCAACACGCTTCCCTCTGCTGCAGCATGCAGCAGCTGGGAGGATGGAAAGGTTTCTCTTTACATAACCAGGTTCATTTTAAAGAAAAATTAATAGCATATAATACAGCGCACATACAGCGTGTAAATTAAGACATCACCGAAATTGTCCCGTCAGGTTTTCCACGTTACCTCCTTTCAGCATGTCTCAAAAATAGTCACATCCAGACTTTCAAATACAATGTTTAAAACAATTAAGTATTTAAAAAGCACCTCTGTTTCTCTCTCCGTCTCTCTCACAGACAAGGTAAATGGGCTAAGGAAAATCACAGCTTTACCAGGCCCCAAACTCCAGCACAACAGACGGGAGGGAAGCTTCATCTCCTTGCAACAAGACTCAGTAACCTGCCCGGGACCAGGCCGAGGTGGGACAACTCCACACTGCTACGCAGCCACCTGAAGGCAGCCCTGCATATACGCTGTCGAGAGCTGAGTACCCATCCTTCCCTTCATTTTGAGTGGAAAGAGTCTCAGAGACCCGGCCTGAAAGTCCACCTACAGTTACCGATCAAGGCGCATCACCGTTAGTTAGAGCTCTTTTTCCAAAAGGCAGAGGACTGTAAAACAGATTCATCCACACAGACAGCAAAGACTTGATTTAATAGACAATTGTAAAGTGCCCTGCTATGCTATAGGCCACAAAACCTTAATGTGCTGCCTTCTACTTCTCAAGGTACAGACACAGCAGCAGGCATCATCTGAAGTGGGGTGTAAATGTGTATCACACCGACCAAGAGTTTTCCTGCTAACTCGATCGCGACGCTCCATGATTGGAGACTGCCCAGGGCTGCAGGTACCCTGAATTAGCCCAGCTGAGTTACACCTTGGAGGCTTCTGCAGTGGAATCACAGTTGTCATGTGTCATCACACTAGTTTCTTTCTTCTAGGTTGGCAATCCCCTTGTAATTACTTGGTATTGAAAATTGTAGTCTTCTATTTTTACTTTAAAAAAAAAAAAAAAAAGGAGTGTTTCAATGTGACAAAATTTCTGCAAATTTGGACAAATTCAAACAGACAAAATCAATTTCAGCATAGCAGGACCATAGAGTAGGACATACAGAGGACAAAAGACTCTGCTATTCCGTCATACATAGGTGAGCAATACCCTCTAATCATTATTTTAAGTGACACAGCAAATGATCTCCAGATGTAGAGGACACCCTATTGTTATTACAGAAATCAGGATACAATCTGGCTGGGGAATAACCTTCCATGATATCTCATTCCCAGAGTACTCCGCAAGCATAGCTTCTTGCACTGAAACTCTTCTGAAAGCAGCAAAGACCGTTTCCTCTCTTTTGGGAAATTAAAACTTCTGCAATTATGAGTCTGGCAACCTGGCTGCATGTTAACCGAGCCAAGTTAATCACTAGTGTCACTCCAAAATCAGGGAGGATGTCCCAGGGATACATTTTTGTCCGTAACAATTAAAACCATCACTCTCATTTTGACAGGAGGCAATACAAACTCCATGGAAACCTCTCTGCTTGCCTTGCATCCCAGACGGCGGTGAACCTCAGGTTACTTGAGCAAAGAATCAGGTCTCCTTCTGTCCTTCTGAAGATCTCGTGCACATAAACAAAGCGGTTTTGCTGTAGTTTTTTTTTCCTTTGGCAGTATTCTGGGATCCTCCTAACCTTATCTGTCCATCTTGTCTCTGATAACAATACTTTGGCTACTTTTTCCACGGATCAACTGTAGTCTTACTTCCTCACTGAAAATTCAAATACTGACACAAACTACAATCCTGATATGTCATAATAAATCACCTGATATATTATTTTTATTTCTACATTAGCTGCTTTCTGGTAAGACCCAAAACCTAGTCAAGGCTGAACATTCCACAGTCGCCTTCAGACCATCCACCACTGGCTGGCTGCCCACGCAACATCTCCTTTTAGCTCTCCAACTTTTACCTACCTATTTTCAACCCATCGGAAAATACTCCATTGCTTTCCCACTTGCGCTTTTGCAATTTCTTTACTTTTTTGCTGTCTTACATCAAACTATTCTGCCATCCTTACATGCCTGTCCCCAACATTAACTTTTCCAGGGTTCTTCGTGCTTCCCACACAAACCTGAATTTTACTTCATGTTCTCCTGCAACAGAAGTAACCTTTGAAAATGCCTTATAGACGCACTTGCTGGGTATCATGGATTAAATTTTCTCAAACTTAAGAAAAGAGCTTCAGGTTCCACTTATTCCAGAAGAGCAGCCACTTTGGAACAGAATTCAGTTTTCTTAACAGATGACGCATAGTTATGTGCTACAATTGATTCATGGAGGTTTGAAGCTTTACACAAGAGGTACAGCCA